TTCTAGGTCCAACCATCCGACATTCTTTGCCTGATGGGATATCGATATTGTTTTGGTTTCTGAATAATAGCTGCCTAGTTTATGTAATGTTTATAGTTTATTTTACGTTTGTATTTAAATTGTAATTTAGTGTGTTTTATTATACATTTCCCAGAGAGCTCCAGCTATTGGCTGGTTCATGCACAATAAATAGTGAAATGTTTTAAAAATTAAAACATGTAATCATTTTTTTGCAAAACACTTCGGAATTCTTTTACTAATTCATTTTTAAATTTAATCATTGTTCAGTGAATTAGGAATATGTTATGCAAACACAGCCTCAGTATTATTCCCCCCCCCCTTTTTTTTAATTTTCCATACAAGTGTGCAATATTCATGTAAAGACCATATTTGAAATATCCATTTTTGGATTGCAGTTTAGAAATTGTATAATATTCATAGTTTAATCCTGGATGTTCCTAAATATTATGTAGTTGTCCTTATGAAGACGGTTCCTATAGATACATGCAATACTGCGGTTAACATTCTCACCATAGTATTAAATATATTGCTTGGTCTCTCTTTTTAGGTTCCCCTAAGGATAGAGTGATTTATTGTCACAGAGCCGGTTTGCATACTACACAAGGTTGTTATATATTTGCCTAGTTTGTAGATCATGGTGTACATGAAACAAATTATAGTAGTATGATTTATCTACGTTTCACTATGGTGTACAAACCTGGGTACTTGGGTGAGTCAGTAAATCATTGTTCACTGAATTAGGAATAACTATGTTATGCAAACACAGCCTCAGTATTATTCACTCAAATCAAGGTTGATTGTGCAAGGATGATCTCCTCTTAGAAATCCATGACTTACTCTCTTTTTCCTGTACCACCTTCTGCCAATTTTATCTTGCACTCTCAAATGTTTTGAACCTTTGTTCAATCATTCTGTAACGCTTGAGTGGTTGTTTTTTTTCTGTTTATGCTGGGTGGGTAGAGGAAAGCAGGTTGGTTATGAAGAGACGTGTGTCTCTCTCCAAAATTACAATTGATGAAAAAGAACAGAACATCTTTACTGTGTTCACTGACCAGAATAGTATATACTTTTGTAATAGCATTTGCTGACCTCAAATGGGAATATATGAAAACTTCTGATTAAATTAGGATAAACTAAAATTTAGGAATAACATGTAAGTATTAAAGTGCTAAAAAATTTAAGTGTCATAATCACTAAATCATAATATTACTTTACCAGGATAAAGGCAAAAATAAAAATATACTGAGTTATTGCCTATTGATTTCTATCACAAAGTGCCTCCTTCCTCTTAAGTCAGGGGTTCCCAATTCCTGAGCCATGGACCACTACAGGGCCATGCACGTGGCGGGTGAGTGCATGAAGCTTCATTTGCACATGTGCGGGATTAGGTTGAGCATGTGAACCAATCCCCTCCTTCCCTACTGCCGCCGGTCCATGCAGTCCAAAAGGTTAGGGACCACTGCTCTAAGTCATTATCAAGAAGTATATGTTTGGGAATATAATTAAGTTAACGCCTGGATTTGCTTTCAGATAATTAATGCAGTAAAATGTAGGAATGGGGCATTATGTAATGGTATTGAGCTACGACATAAAAATGAAAAAGCTGGATGCTGTAGTTGAGCAATACTGGGATGTCCATAATTTTCAGACAAAGACCAGGGAAATTAATATTCCTGAGCCACGAAATTCCCTGGATAATTATGCCACCCCTTTTTGAATAAGCAGTTTGAGTGGTTGCAAGCATACAGATAGATACTCCCCTTCAGCTTAGAGAAAAGGTATACAGTACATGGGCACAAGACAGGGGTGGGTTTCAACCGGTCCGCGTGGACCGGTTGGTCGGTGAACCCAGAAGTAACTTATGGGGACGCCGAAGGGCCCACCCGCCTGCCCGTGTTCCTTACCTGTCTTTGAAGGCTTCTGCGCTTCCACGCAGGCGCATGGCACATACAGCGCCTGCGCGATTCTCTGCAAGCAGCTGGAGCATCGCGCAGGTGCTAAGATGCATGCGTGAACTGCGCACATGCACGAGGATGCCGCCGGCCCCATTCCAACCGATACGGTTGGAACAGGATGAGCAACCCACCACTGGCACAAGACAACTTCTAGTTAATACTTCCGATCAAGACAACCAGATGTTTCCTGAATAAAAATCCCCAGGATCTGAAGCTGGTGTTAATTAGGAATAGAGATCTATCTATAAAGCCACTGGGGCACGAACTATTCTTTACACATAGCAACTGAATATAAGTAGTTTGTATCTGACCCGAAACATTTTGTCTTTGGCTCAGATTCCAAAATGGGCTGTTTTGTCCTGAATTATGGATTGGAAGCAGAAGAGCAAGAAAAAAATTGAAGGACATTGGTGGAGGGGGAAGGGGATGTAACAGAGGGGAAAACATTAGGGAGATCAAAGGGGACCAGCTGGCTATTACCCTGGGGTTTGATGTATAGAGAGAAGTGGTGATGTATCCCAGTTTTGTCTTGCATTTCCTGCACTCTCCAGGTTCTATGCAGATTGTGTATTGAATGGACCATCCAAAATGGTGATTTCAGAGAAGTGTGGTCCCCCGTCCCCCCCAAATTGAACCAAATAGATAATGCACTGTATTTTCTGGTGGGGTGGAAGGTGTTGTATTCTGTAAATGGAAGCATTTTCCTGATGCTCCGCTAGGTGGCAGTATCTAGCTATCCTGGAGTGATATCGGGGAAAAATAGGTTTGAATAGGTATTTTTTATTTATTTATCACATTTTTATACTGCCAATCTCACCTAAGTGACTCTGGGCAGTTTACAATAAAAAGGTATTATTACAAATTGGACTAAAAGAAGCTCATACAAGGTTAAGTGCCCCAAAGAGAATCTTGTGATTAAAAACTGAAAACTCTGATTAAAATGAAAAACTTCTAACATATACATACACATGACATTTGTTTCTGAGCATTTGGAATTTGAAGACCCCTCTCACTTAATAATTAGTAGTAATAATAATAATCTACGGCAGGTGGAACTAGAATGAACAGTTCAAAGCGGATTTCTCTCTCTATTTAAATCGCGTACTTTACTGAAATTCAGCCAACTACATACAGTACATAATGTATGCAGCAATTCATCTCATCCTTGGCTACCTTTAAGCCCCTATGGACCTCAACTCCCAGACTTCTGCATGGCTGGGGGATTCTGGGAGTTGAAGTCCACGTGACCCAAAAGCTGACAAGCACGAGAAGCAGGTACTTGGATGAAAGAATCCGAGGGCTACAGCACCTTCCTTTGTGGGACTTGTGGGGTATCTCAGGCGGATAGCAGAGCTGTAAGTCATGTTGCAAGTCAAACTACAAGGGAGTGGTGAGCAAATTCCATGCAACTGGCAGGGAAACCTCAGGAGCCAAGCTTGATGTGTAAATTATATCCCCCCCCTCGTGGCACGACAAAGCCGCGCTCGTCAAAATAGCGGTGATAAAACCGTGTCGCTAAAGCTG